TCTCTCTCTCTCTCTCTCTCTCTCTCTCTCTCTCTCTCTCTCTCTCTCTCTCTCTCTCTCTCTCTCTCTCTCTCTCTCTCTCTCGTTGTCCCCACCACCCAACACGAACATTATTGCGCTCTCTGCAACACTCCAACCGAACATGTCCAGATTCCACAGATAAGTGGTGCAGTGGCGAAATAGAAACAGAGGCTGGCGGTGTTGTGGCGGAATACGGACTCCGACTCTGAAATTCTGCCTGCGATGGAATGGTGTTCCCCTCCCGTGTATGGCCATTTTTATGGAAAAGCAAGCGACCACCAAGGGGTAAGACCACTGGAGCGGCCACATATTAGCTAGTTGACCCCAACAACCCCAATTTGGATCCTTGGGGTCTCCCTATCGGCAAAAGGTAAACCAATAGCATACAATGAATGAAGTTCAAACCCAGTGCTAGCAAAAATTGAAATTTGGAAAGACAAACAGACCTCTCTGATAGGACGCTCGCTTATCATAAATAATGTAATACTAGCAGCATTGTGGTACAAGTCTGTTATATGGTCATTGGACAAACCCGCTCAGCAAACCCTACAAACGCAAGTGACGACTTACCTTTGGAGGGGGAATCACGAATGTAAAAATGTGATCAGTAGAGTGGCATGAAAAGTGGTGATCCAACCTAAGTTAAAAAGGGGACTAGGTATCGTAGACCCACACACACAGACGCAGGCATTACCCATCCAATGGATAAAAAAATTGATTTTAACCCACAGACACCGTGGCAAGCTCTTGCCTGGGAACAAATTGTTGGACTGACGTAGGAAAGCCCGATAGACACAGACCCAATGTCATGGCTAGAAAACAGGTATTGGACCATTCCACGAGGACATTCATAGGAAACGAACTATGGGGAAGTCTTCAACAGAGTTACAACAAAGATTGGATATGAAAAATAATCCCTTATAGCGCAATCTTCTTAGAACATGACGCAAACTACCACTCCATGACAAAAAACCGCCAAATAGGTGGGAGAGGTCTCTGCCAACATCCGCTTTTTAACAATAGACGAATCAAGGAATCTCGGGGGCACATGTTGCATTCAAGTTGTATGGATTCTCCTTGTAAGGGGTGGGTAAAAATGAGATCCTTACAATAGGTGATATTTGGAGTAAGGAGTGCAAAAAATAGTATACCTCGTCACAAATTCAACCCAATCTACGTTATTGTAGAAACACAGCGGATGCATTGAAAACTCTAATTAAGTTAATCCCTTTAGATTGGGTAAGGATACTCAAAAGAGGCCCAAGTATCAAGGAAAGAGGCTGGCAACAGAAAAATTGTGGGAAATTTTCATCAAGTTTTCAACTTGCTCATAAGTTGGAACCAATATTGGAATTACGTGAAATGATGCGGCCAATCGTTTAGGAGGGTCGGATCCATGTTTCCAAACGTTTACCAACATGCGGCCTACATGTTTTCAACATGTGATCAACGTTGGTCCAACATGTTTCCAACATATGTGTGTTGGAAAATTTTTGGTCTTAAGTTCCCATCATTGTAGTTCACTACTGCGTGGAAACGACGGCGCTAACGACCTGTTTTCACCTTTTTCTGGCCCGCAGTAGTGAACCGTGATGTTTTCACGGACACATTGATGTTGTGGTGGCGCGGGGTTGAGAACATGGATTGGCGAGATATATAACGAGACCGTGGGATTGGTAGGGAAAAAAAAAAAAAAAAAACGGGCAAGAAAACAAGGGTGGAGACTTTATTCACGAAAAAAAAATAAAAAAAATACATTGGATAACAAACCGTCATTGAAGTACGGATAAACATGCGTTTCTCGCATTGTGCGCGGATCTGTTCTCCGAGCTGTCATTGGCGTCGTGTTTTTGCCAGTACGGCCCGTCACTCGGATTCTTCGTTTGTCGCGAGCACAATTTTCGGGGGCGGTGCGATGCAAATTGAGCATGTTCAACACATAGTTTTATAACCTGACGGTGCGACCCCTTTGGCCCCCTCTCCCCTCCCCCATAGCGTAGACGTGCTTTTGACAGCAGCTTCGGTCGGCACGCGGCGTGACCATTTGCCCAAGGTGGTCGTGGACGGGGTGTGCAGCGCCGCATGTCGAAGGTCGTTAACCGAGTCCCTGGTTTGTCTGCGACGCTGTCTTGCGCGGTGTGATGCGTAGTGTGTCGATGGCAACGAGGAAAAAAAAAAAAAAAAAAAAAAGGCCCCGAGAAAAAAAAAAAAAAAAAAAAAGGACGAAATGCTTGCGACGCCGAGGGACGGCGCATCCTCGGTGAATTTGCTGTCCCGCACCTGTCTCTTATACACATCTAGATGTGTATAAGAGACAGG